AAATATTTAACAATTCATAGCTTATACTTTGTGGAGGTTGTAGTTCTCACCAGTGACCATGAGAGGGCGACGCCAGTGGACTCAAAGGCATTTACAGCCTTGGAAGGACAGAGGAAACCAGGCATGTTCTCTCTGGGGTTCCACCATTGCTTCCCAAGGTGTGCCGCCCCTGCAATGTTTGGGCACCCTCCAACTATGGGAAGAACAAAGGATATGGGCTGGGGGACGGAAGTGTGGTGAACAGCGGGACAAAAGAGCAATCCAATGGTCATGCCCATCCATGAGTTAAGAGTAGGTGAGGGCAGGGGCGCCTGGGTGGCTTAGTCGGTTAAGCGTCCGACTTTCGCTTAGGTCATGATCTCGCGGTTCGTGGGTTCGAGCCCCGCGTCGGGCTCTGTGCTGACTGCCAGCTCAGAGCCTGGAGCCTGTTTCAGTCTGTGACCCCTCTCTCTCTGACCCTCCCCTGCTCATGCTGTCTCTCTCTCTCTCTCTCTCTCTCTCCTAGAAATAAATAAAACATTTAAAAAAAAAAAAGAGTAGGTGAGGGCATTCATTTGACTCAGGGCAGAAGCTATTTACCAATACCAATATGTATAGAAAATTTTACAAGTCATTTAGAATGGTATCACTCGGCTTATATATTTGGATGTAAATCTACCAACTTATTTTATTTGTAATATCCATTCTATGTTGGTTTTTCTCTCCTTTCATATCTTTTACTATTTTTTCCCTCTCTTGTAGCTTTTAAGTTTTACTACATTCTTTATATTTTTTAGTAATTATCCTAGAAATTACCTCACGCATCTCTGACTTTTTAAAGCCTGTTATTAATCAATACATTACTTACCTCCCTGACAATACAAGAGCTTCAGAACACCTTAATTCCATTTCCTCCCAACCACTGCTATTTTACTATCATGTATTTTAATTCTTTGTGTATTTTTTAAATCGATAAGGTATTATTATTATTTGAAGACAATGTTTATTAACATTTACCACCTTCTTTGTCTTACATATCTTCTTGCAGCTCTATGTTATTCTGGGATCATTTTCTTTTTGCCTTAGGCACATTCTTTACAATCTTCCTTACTGATATTCTCCTTGTAAATATTTTTATTTTGCCTTTATTCATAAAAAATATTTGCCTGAAGATGGAATTAGAGCTTGGCAATTAGTTTCTTCTGGCACCTTGAAGATGTCATTCTACCACTGTGGCCTGAGATCTGTCAGTCTGTTACTCCAATAAAATTAATCTGCCTTTTTCTCTTGCAAAATATTTTAAGGATGCTTTTCTTCATCTTTCTGTACTTACACTATTGTGTGTTGGAGTATAATTCTTTTTATCGATTCCGCTTGAAATCTGTTCAGCTTCTGGTTTTGGTGGTTTGGTATCTTTCTGAAAGATTCACAACCATCGTTTCTTAAAATACTGCCTCTGCTCCATTCTCTTTTCAAGAGTCTGTTTAAATGTTATTTTCTCACAAGAACGAATCAACTCTTCTACATTTCTAGGCTTCTTCTCTTTGTGCTTCATTTAGGATAATTTCTTCAGCTCTACCTTTCACTTCATTAGCACCTTTTTAGTCGTGTGTAATATGCTGCTAAATAGAACACATCCAATAATTCTGGTTATTGTAGTTTTCATTTCTGAAGTTCTATTTGGTTTTTTAAAAAATTGGTTGTGTCACTTTTTATTGTTTTCTATTTCTGGAAGATATCTTCAAACTTGATTTTTTTCAACTTAATAAGTATATATATATATATTTTTTTAAAACTATATATTTAAGAATATATATAATATGTAAAATTATATATATATAATATAAATATATAAAAATATATATAAATTATATAAATATATATATATAAATATATATATATTTAAGAATTAGTGTCTGATAAGTCCAATATCTGGTATCTTTCTGAGTCTTTTTCTGTTGTCTATTGTTTCTGTTTCTTCTCATTCATGGTGTCTGTGCCTTGTTATCTTTGTCTATGTACTAGCTATTATAAAAAAATTATTTGAAGCCTAGGATGAAAGTACCTTCTTCTACATATGATTTCCTTTTCCTTCTAGCATGTTTGGGATCACCATAAACCAGCTATAATGCTTGAGGTTCCCAGAAGATCAATCAAACTGCAATTCAAGCTGCAAACACTTGTGAGGGCTCATCTCTCATCTACTTATAATTCACATTCACCTTGAAGATGTGGTCCTTTTGGGTCTTGGCTTATTGTGGGGAGAGCCTGTCATTGCATTCCCCACCTCGAGTGGCCCTGAACATTGATGTCTGTCTCCCTTGTTCCTGCTAGGCTATCAAACCATCTTTAAATTCGCCAGATTTAGCAAATACTCTTAGAAAAAAGATAACTTTTGTACTCATTCATCACTCTGGGTTTCCATTTCTGCATCATTCTCTTCTTCGTAATTCCTTACTGGATGCCAACTCTTTGAAGGCTTTCAAGATGATCATTATTTAAAACCAGTTGTTAAGTTGTTTTCAGTGGAAAAGTCAGTCTAAATAATCTAGGCCATCATTATTAGAAATACAAAGCCACAGGGGCGCCTGGGTGGCTTAGTTGGTTAAGCACTCAACTTTTGCTTAGGTCATGATCTCGCGGTTCGTGGGTTCGAGCCCCGCGTCGGGCTCTGTGCTGACTGCCAGCTCAAAGCCTGGAGCCTATTTCAGAGTCTGTATCTCCCTCTCTCTCTGACTCTCCCCTGCTCACGCTGTCTCACTGTCTCTCTCTCTCTCTCCTAGAAAAAAAAAAAAAAGAAAGAAATAGAAAGCCACATATGTCTTGGCACATGATTGGCACTCAGTAAATAATGGGGCTGAATAAGGGGTGCCTGGGCAGCTCAGTCAGTTGAGCTTCTGACTCTTGATTTCAGCTCAGGTCATGATCCTAGGATTGTGGGATCAAGCCCCACACTGGACTCCATGCTTAGTGTAGAGTCTGCCTGGGATTCTCTCTCTCTGCCTCTACCCCTCCTTAATTCTCTCTCTCTAAAATTAAAAAATAATATAAAAAAGAAAAGGCTGCGGTGCATGGGTGGCTCAGTTGGTTAAGTGTCTGACTTCACTGAGCTCAGGTCATGATCTCACAGTTTGTGAGTTTGAGCCCACATTGGGCTCTGTGCTAACAGCATTGACTCAGCTTCAGATCCTCTATCTCCCCTCTGTCTGCCTCTTCCCTGCTCGCACATGTACTCTCTCTCTCAAAAATAAAATAAACATTAAAAAAAGAAAAAAATGGCTTAATAAGTTGAATTAACATAATTTCCCAAACATGCTCTCTCTCTCTTTTTCTTAAATAGTTTATTGTCAGGTTGGTTTACATATAACACCCAGTGCTCATCCCAAGTGCCCTCCTCCAAGTCCATCACACCCCTTCCCCTCACCCCCACCCCCCTCAGCCCTCAGTTTGTTCTCGACATTCAAGAGTCTTTCATGGTTTGCCTTCCTCCCTCTGCCCCACCATTGTTCCCCTTCTCCTCTCCCATGGTCCTCCGTTAAGTTCCTCCTAATCCTCCTATACGTTCAAACATATGGTAGCTGTCCTTCTCTGCCTGACTTATTTCACTCAGCATAACACACTCTAGTTCCATCCATGTTGCTATACATGGCCAGATTTCATTCTTTCTCATTGCCATGTAGTATTCCATTGTATAGATAAACCACATCTTCTTGATCCATTCATCACTTGATGGACACTTAGGCTCTTTCCATGTTTTGGCTATTGTTGAGAGTGCTGCTATGAACATTGGTGTACATGTGCCCCTATGCATCAGCACTCCTGTATCCCTTGGGTAAATTCCTAGCAGTGCTATTGCTAGGTCATAGGGGAGTTCTATTGTTAATTCTTTGAGGAACCTCAACACCGTTTTCCAGAGGGGTTGCCCCAGCTTACATTCTCACCAACAGTGTAGGAGGGTGCCTGTTTCTCCACATCCTTGCCAGCATCTAGAGTCTCCTGATTTGTTCATTTTAGCCACTCTGACCGGCATGAGGTGGTATCTCAGTGTGGTTTTGATTTGTATCCCCCTGATGATGAGGGATGCTGAGCATCGTTTCATGTGTCTGTTGGCCATCTGGATGTCCTCTTTGGAGAAGTGTCTGTTCATATCTTCTGCCCATTTCTTCACTGAATTATTAGTTTTTCAGGTGTGGAGTTTGATGAGTTCCTTATAGATTTTGGATACTATCCACATTTACAAAGATTGTTTCTTACTTTTACGATGCACAAAATGCCCATATTCCACCACTGATGAGGCTTAGAACCAATGCCACCTCTTCCTCAAAATTCTTCCTGTTTCCTCTACTTCCCCAAATCTGAATCCTACTTCTTCCCTAGCTAAACCCTCATGAGACCTGATCTGTATTATTCTGGTTGCTTTTAACTAGATAGAAATGTATTAATACAACACTTTGTCTCTTCTGGGGATTTGCACTTTCTTGACTTTTCTTGGCTAATGAAGAATTCCCTCACTCTCCCTCAAGCTAAACATACATTCTAAACAGATTCTTTGAAAAATGTTACATCCAGCACTTTTAGGTTTGATGTCCTGAGAGGGGAGTCTCTGAACAGTTAGGCTGCCATACGCCGGAAGCAAGCTGTAGCTCATGCTAATAAACCCTTACATTTTACAGCACTTTAGAATGAGTAGGGCACTCACTCTCACATACATGCCTCTTACTTGAGTACAATCATCATGCTGAAGATGAGAAACAGAGGGTGAGAGAGACTAAATAATACACCCGAAAAAACTACAAAGATGAAACAGAACCCAGTCTTTTCTCTGCAAGCCCGGGGCTTGTTCCAGGAAATGGTCATTCCCATCGCGATGACACCCAAACTCTTTGGAAGTAACCCTTGGTGTGTAAAAGTACATGTAGTGCAGGAGTTAGGTCAGGGGCAGTAGACAGAGAGGTTAGCTCTGTGAGATATCCCACACACGCGTCTCAAATGACAGTCTTCTGTATCTCAGTCCTCCTTACCTCACAACCTTGGTCCCATTTCTCAGGACTTGCATGTCCACCATACAGCCCCCAGTAACATAGGCAGCTAGGTTCAACTCTGAGAATTCGGCCTGAAGGAGAAAGCAAAACAAAAAAGGATTCATCAAAAACTAACGATGCTAAAAACTGCTAACATTTATTGGGTACTTCTATGTGCCAAGTACACATATATACCTTGCCCGAAACTTAGGCAGTTGGTGGTATTATTTACTTCCCTTTCTGAAATGTGAGAAATCTGAGGTGTAGAGGCATGGTGCCATGTCAAAAGTCCCATGATTAGTAAAAGGTAAAGTTGGATTGAAACCTACATGTCTCTGATTCAAGCACCTATGCTTTTAACCACTCCTGACTTCTACTTCCTTGAAAGTGGAAGAAGATACTCCAGCTTCAGCACTATACAAGTGCCTGTCCAAGGCCAGAGGCTGTTCAGCATAACACTTTCCCTGGATTTCTCCAGCTTCAGGTCATGCAGGGGTATGGCATCACAGCTATGTGATCACTTATCACTGTTAATGGAGCCTGTCTCATCTTCTGCCCACTCTTACCTCTTTTGGTCATGGCCCTTCCCACCTACATGGTTAAAGCACCATGTCTGTGCACTGCAATAATGCCCCCTCAGTACAGCTGATGGGGTTGGTACCTGACCCAGGGTGGAGAAATAAGGTGCCCTTGTATTAGAATTTGGAACTGCTGAGTGATTTGTGCAGTTTCCTTCCAGGGGCTGTATTTAATACAAAAACCTGAGTACAGTTGAAGACCACATTTTCTGCTATCTGGATTGGGAAAGTAAGAACACAGGGGACGGGTGGGGGGTGGATGTCACAGTCACTATGAGAAGGGCCAAGAGGCAAGAGGTGGGGAGTACTCTTGCTTGTTTATGTGCCAGTGACAATCCTGACCTTGGGTGTTATGCAATACTTCTATATCTTTATAAATTCATCATTTTTCTTATTTGTTTAAGCAAGATCTGCTGCATTTCTTTTGCTTGTGACCAGAGTCCTGTGGAATACATCCCTCCTACAAGATTATATACTCCCTGGGAATAGTGATTCATGGCACTACAACCATCTGTATTAGTTTCCTAAGGTAGCCATAACAAAGTACCAGCACCAGGTGGCATAGACAACAGAAATTTCCTTTCCCACTGTTCTGGAGTCTAGAAGTCCAAAATCAAGGTATTGGTAAGGTTGGTTCCTTTGAAGGCTATGAGGGAAAATATGCTCAAGGTTCTTATCCTTGGCTTGCGATTGCCACCTTCTCCCTGTGTCTCATCACACTGTCTTCCTTCTACGCATGTCTCTGTACCCAAAGACCCCCTTTTTATAAGAACACCAGTCATACTGCATCAGGGCCCACCCTAATGACCTCACTGTAACTCTGTAAAGACTCTATCTTAAAATAAAGTCACATACTGAGGGACTGGAGCCTAACACTTCAATGTGTGAATCTTGAGGAGACATAGTTCAACTTGTAACCCCATGTTAGAAAGTGCATAGTACCAAACTATGCCTTACACACAGTAGATGCCAAAAACCATTTCTCTGGATTAAATGAATGAAAATAACTTCTCATACATATGAAAAACTCACTATGTGCCAGATACTGTCCTAAACTTTTTACATGTATGAATTAATTTAATCCTCACACTTGTCCAGATGAAAAAACAAAAACAAAAACAAGGCAGAGAGAGATTGAATAACTTGCACAATGTCACACAGTAAGTAGCAGAACCAAGATTTAAACCCAGGCAGTCTGGCTCTAGCCTATGCTTTTGATGGCTACACCCTCCTGCCCTCACTGTTTAGCTGAATAAGGCACTGGGTAGATTACAACTGGGAATTTCAGTGACCTAAAAATAGCCCATTTGAAGAGAAAACCAAGTTTATATGGAAGGGAAATATCATTTCACAGTGATTTAAATGTATCTCTGTGGAAACATTTAATAGAATTATGACCAAAGACCTAGTCATCTCCCTAGATAGCATTAAAGGAAACTCAGAGTGCTTATGTCTCTTGCTTTAATTAATAGCCTCATTATGTTGTGGCAAGGTGAAAAGCAAAGAGCTCTGTTAATGAGTCCAGGTTAGTAAATAGTGGTAATGACCTGTTTATTAAGTCTAATGCCTTAAAAAATTCAGTCCCATCATGTTTAAGATACTTCACTGGCTAGATTACAAAGAAGAATTAGCAATAAAAGTTGTTGCTTGAGTGTGGGGAGAAAAAGATGTTAGAAGAAAGTTGCAACACAGAACAGTTGGGCACCAAAAATTTGAAGAAGGGCAGCAAATATGAATCTTGAATGATAGAATCTTCAGCTCTGAGGTGGCCAAACCCCAGGGGCTGTCTTGTTGCCCAAATGGAAAGAGATAATCTGGATAAAAGACACAGTCAGGCTTGGATATACAAGTTAGAAGTTCATTATGTTCAGAGCAAGGTGTCTAGAATTATTTCCCAGTTATGGTTTATGAGTAATTACAGGAAGGCAAATACCTGGGTTGTTAGGGTAGCCAGCATCTGTTGGATCAAGCACAGAGAGTGGGGCAGTGAAGAAAGGGCACTCTTCTGTATTTTACTTTTTTAAAAGTTCAAAAACAAAACTTGGAAATGAACCACAGAGTTTATCCAAGCAGTTCTCCATCAAGGTAGCATGATGGCCCTCTCAGTAGAATCTCAAAGAGCAGCCATTTTTGAAGAGCCTGAGAACTCTTATAGAAACTGCAGTGGGTTGAATTATCTCCCCCAAAAGATATGGCCACATCCTAACCCCTGATACCCACAAATGTGACTAATGTTGGAAATAGGGTCTTTGCACATTTACATCTGTAATCCATCTATTATTTTAATTTGTGTCAGATCTGAGATAAGACCCAAGGTTCAGTTTTTCCATGAACCATGGTTACTCAAATACTTTGGTACTATTTATTAAAAAGACTATTCTTGGGTGCCTGGTGGCTCAGTTGGTAAAGCGTCTGACTTCGGCTCAGGTCATGATCTCACAGCTCGTGGGTTTGAGCCCTGTGTTGGGCTCTGTGCTGACAGCTCAGAGCCTGGAGCCTGTTTCAGATTGTGTGTCTCCTTCTCTCTCTGACCCTCCCCTGTTCACGGTGTCTCTCTCTCTCTCTTAAAAATAAATAAAACATTAAAAAATAAAAAATAAATAAAAAGACTATTCTTTCCCAATAGAGTTGTGCTGGTGCCTTTTTGTCAAATATCAAGTCACCTCATATGTGATCTTATTTTTCTATCCTTGAGTCTGTTCCAAGTTGTCTCAGTTACTGCAGCTTTACAGTGAGTTTTGATATCAAATAGTATAATATTCTAAGAGGGAAGCAGCCCAATTAGGGCCCAGTGATAACACGGTATCAAAGACAAGGCAGGAGGACCACACCTTTTGTCTCCTCAACCTGCTGAAGCAGATAAAATGTCTTCCTACTCACCCACTCCAAAATACACTCACTGGGCAACTAGATGACTTCAAAGGCTCTATCCTGAATAAACCTATTAAATGTTTCCCTAGTGATGTGATTGGCTGAATGGAATGTGTTCTGTTCTCTGATTCACACTACAACCCACCATTGTGTCCAGACCTCTCAAAGAGCTTCTCAGGGAATTCCCACCTCTCTTAAAGGTTAAAAAGAAAAAAAAAATTCAAGAGCTCAGCCCCTTCAGCTTTGTCAGCGTGGCAGGCCAGCTGAGAGGCTAATAAATTAAGTAAGTACTTCCATGACTTTGGATCCAACCTGTACTGAGAAATTGTACCTGTGGCACTCCACTATCACCATGCTCACCTGCTCCCATGATTTCTCTTTGCTTTATAAATGAACTTTAGGGTTGCATGACAGGTCTAAACATCTTCTTTTATTTGGGCTTCTGTACACCCTATTGAAAGCTCAAGCTCACTATCTCATCTGCGTTACTTTTCCCCTGTCTGCTGCTATGAGGGGGCATTTTAAAGAATTTGGTTCCCTTATTTTTAACCAGAAAAAAATAACACTGTAACGAAGAAAGGCTGTATGTAATTTTGATTGTCAAGACTGTGTTTTGAAAGGGAAAACTGTCATTTTACACATTTGTGGGAGATTTTCTCCAGACATCATTAAAGATACGTAGGTTTTTACAATATTAGGCAAATACAGGGACTTTGGATTCTGTTACTCTTGTTACTTCTGTTCCCTGGTATGGGAGATTTTTGACACTGATCTCAATGATACCTGAAAGTGATGGATTATCTGAGTTTTCCTATTTGTCACTTTTTAAAACATGTACATGGAGGAATCAAAGAATAGTGGAAAAGGAATTGACCTTTAAGTTTGAGGACCAGGAACCTAAACCTTGGATTTGACCTATACCTTGGATTTGACCCAATGACAATGACCACAGGCAGACCCCTCACTCTCCACTTGAATTCTCTTTGTCTTTAAAATGAAAGAGTTATAGGGGCACCTACCTGGCTCAGTCGACTGAGCATCTGACTTCAGCTCAGGACATGATCTCATGATTCTGGGTTTGAGCCCTACATTGGGCTGACAGTGCAGAGCCTGCTTGAGATTTTCTCTTTCCCTCTTTCTCTGTCCCTGTCCACTCACTATCTCTCTCTCTTTAAAAAAAATGAATAAACTTTAAAAAAATTTTTAAATAAAATGAAAGAGTTATAATCAGTAGAGTCAATTATATTTATGGTGCCTTTCATTTTTATAGATCTGTCTTTCTCAACTAGCGTCCCCCAATTATCACTGAAGGAAAAATCTATCATCACATCTCGTGAAAAAGGAATGCTATGCATTAATATTATTATTATAAATAATATTGTGCTTTACACTCAGCTTCAGGCACATAGTGGTATCCAAAAGCATTTGTTGAATAAAGTGTTACTTTGATTTTTGGGTGCCTGGGTGGCTCAGTCAGTTAAGTGTGACTCTTGGCTTGGGCTCAGATCATGATCTCCTAGTTCATGAGTTCGAGCCCTGCATCAGGGTCTGTGCTGACAGTGCGGGACCCTGCTTGGGATTCTCTCTCTCTCCCTCTCTCTGCCCCTCTCTCTGCCCCTCTCCCCCCACCTCTCTCTCAAACT